GAGAGCTCAAAGAGATTCCAGCAGGCAGAGGAGATCCCCTGCCAGGCTAAAGGACTGAGGGAAAAGGAATCACTGGGCTATTTAATCCTTTTTTTTTTCATGTCTGTATAAAGGACAGCAGGAAGTACGTGACCCCAAAGGAAAGAATTTTCTATCAAAAACAGCACCATTCTTTCTGTAAGCCTTTCTGTGCTCTCAGAAAGAAGCAACTTTTGCTTCTTGAAGGGATCAGAAGGAGTCTGCCACGGTGACAAAAGAAAAGGAGAAGTTAACCTCCTGACAATGATAATAGGTTAAGCTAGTGTGAAGGAAGCTTATACTGCAAAGATCTTCTAGGACTGAGAAGAAAATTGTCTTTGGTTCAGCAAAAGAGGAAATGCAGCACCAGAGGATTAAAAAGAGAAGGAACACAGTAAAAATGAGAACCCAGAGAGACGCCCCTTTGCAGCAGCACTTTGAATAAACAAAGCTGCAGGGGTCAAAATGAGAGGCAGGACATGACTAAGTCATACAGGCAGAGAGAACTGTTAGTAGGCCTGTGCTACAAGCAGTAAGACTTCAACACAATTGAGTGGGAATAAAAAGAGAAGGAAGATGAAAACATGAGTCATGGATGATATTCAAAACTATTTGTCAATAGGTGCATCCAGGGCACAATATCCAGACAGTCAAAAACCGAAAAAAACACAGACAGAAGCCTAGCACATCCCCAGCAGCAGAAGAAAGAGGAGCCAGCACTAAAGATTCAAAAAGTAAAAGTGAAGAAGAAATGGGAGAGGACAGGTTTTTTGGAAGTGCACTGGGGTTTTTTTAAGTGTTTGCTGGATTTGGGAAGAGGAATGGGAGTTTCTAAATCAGTCCATCAGTCAGAGCCAATGATGAAACACAGGCCTTCATGTCTAAGTTGTTAAGTGGAGATGTCCATGTGATATCCAGCTGATGGAAGAAGGATTGAGCCATACTGAAGGAGATGTAGGATTAGAGGAGTTTTGAAGAGCATGTTTGGAGAGGTTAGAGATGACAGGAATAAAACAGATGAAGTGATAGGCAGAGGAAGGGAATCCAATGGGTGTTTTTATGATAGGGATGATTTGTGACTACCTAACTTTATTTGAGAGGAAACTTAAGGAATTTGAGAAATAGAAAGGAAAAAAGGCAGGATGAAATCAACATCTGTGTGACAGCAGACCAAGAAGCAAATATGGAAAAGGCTAACGATAGAAGTAATGAATTCTGTGTTTAAACTTTGAGAGTTTTTCTGCAGAAGAAAATGAGGTAGCTGCAGTAGAGCCTATTTGTTCAAAGAAGGAGAAAGACACGGTGAAGTCCAAACGAAGAAAGTAATGGTTTCTGTAGGACAAAAACTGGATGTAGATCTATGACTGAAGTGAAAAGATGAGGGCATAGTGATAGTCAGCTAAAATGTCAGCTTAAGTATCATCAGAGAAAAGTAGCTCAAGGGTGAACATGCGCATGCAGAAGTGATAATCACTGCCCCATAATCAGCATCTTATCTATAACCAGAGTTAGCCTTTTTCATTACAGCAGTGCAACTGATGTCAAAAATGATCCAGAAAGCTTCTCAGACATGCTCATTTCAGCCACGGTAGAGTTAATTTTCTTCACAGTGGCTGGTATGGGGCTGTGTTTTGGATTTGTGCTTTACACAGTGTTGATAATGTAGGGATGTTTTTGTTGTTTCTGAGCAGGGCTTACATAGAGCCAAGGCCTCCTCTGCTTTTCATACTACCACACTGGCAAGGGGGCTCAGGGTTCATGGAAGGTTGGGAGGTGACACAGCCAGAGCAGGTGACCCCAACTGACTGAGGGGACATTCCAGACCATATGACATTCCAGACCATATCATGCTCAGTATGTAAAGTGGGGGGAAGAAGGAGGAAGGAGGTGACATGTTGGCGTGATGGCATTTGTCTTCCCAAGTGTAGTGGGTTGAGCTTGGCTGGGTGTCAGATGCCCCCCCAGAACACTCTATCACTCCCTCTAGCAGGTCCTCACAGAAGCCATCCCTGTAGCCCCTCTGCTACCAAAGCTTGGCCATGCAAACCCAATGCACCCAGTCACTGTTATGTGTGAAGGGGTCCTCCTCTCCTGGCTGAACACCTGCCTGCCCATGGGAAGCAGCGAATTAACTCCTTGTTTTGCCTTGTCTGTGAGTGCAGCTTTTGCTTTCCCTGTCAAATTGTCTTTAGCTCAACCCATGAGTTTTCTAGCTTTTACCATTCTGATTCTCTCTCCCAAGACTGCTGGTGGGGCAGGGACCCACTGGCTGTGTGGGGCTAGGTTGCTGGCTGGGGTGAAAGTATGATATCAGATCAGTGTGGTCATGCAATAAATAAACAGCTCTCAAAAAACTAGATGAACCAAGAAGGAGGAAGAAAAAAACAGCCCAAAACCCCCACCAATACCCCCTCCAGGGTGTAGCTGATTATAACTTTTTCCGCTCCAGAAAGTACACTTTATTTTCAATTTCCAGTCTCACAATATACCTACCTCCTTAGCCTTGTGCTCAAAATTTACAAAGCTTTAGCTTGTCAGCTCTGGGAATTCTCTGACTTTCCTCTGAATATTAGTTACATAATAGCTTGAGCTAAGCAATCAAAGCAGTGATAGGTCAAAAGGAAGATTTGCCTGAGGTGATGCAGGAAGTTGATGGCAGAGCTTGAAGCTGAATACACATTTCTCTGCTATTCTGACAGCACAAAAACCAACAGAGCCTCCTTGACTGTTTGGATTTTGTTGGATTCTTTCCAAAGAAGCACTGTTTCTGAAGCCAAAGCTACAAAATGCAATTGCATTGAAAGAGCTAATAAGCCAAAGAGGTATCCCCAAATGGCACTGTTTTCTAGCTCTCAGTGGCACTTCCATGTTACTAATAAATTATACATCTTACAATCAATATTTTCTACATGCATATTGTATTTTGTGTCATTTCAACTATCTGTGAATGTGTACAGTTCTTGCGATACTAAGAGGAGTGTGCTAAACCCAGTCTTTCTCTTGGATTTTACACTCTTCACCTTCAAAATAGTTAGCTCCAAAAATGCCAGTTTTTGGTACTGACATTTCTAGTTACAAAAGATAGACCTGAAAGCCATTGTTCAGTCTCTTTGCCTCTATTTGGCGGGACTAAATGACAACTACCAAAAATTTTAGTTGGTAAGTGGTGGCAACAACAAATACAGCACCAAAATTTAGAGGGATGAATCCAACATTTTTGACACTGCAGAACAGTGTAACATTTACTTGTCAACAGTGCAGGATGCAGTAAATAGACTAAGCAAGGAACTAAGAGGGCCAGGACTCCAAGGCTCACTCTTCAGAGGTGACAGCAGTGATGGAGATGGCACATCCTGCACTTCAAATTGCATTCTTCAGGTTCTTTAGGGGTTATGATTTGTCTGCGACTGATTAGGGAATGGGCTAGGCATCATGATGTTACTCTTCTCCATGCTATAAGATTCTCAGAAATTTCCAGATTTTTCTCCCATGAGTTTATCTGGCATCACCTTATTGAGAAAATGCCTTCAGAACTGAACATGAGGAATGAAGTATTTAAGATCTGAAAAACTGTGAAATAGGCATTTAATTAATAAAAAGGATGGTTATGAGTTATACTGATATTCGTTATTATTTGCATTATCAGAGTCTAGGCACTGCTGCTTATAAAGATGATGCTTTCATGGTACTTGGAATAAAGGAGCAAAAAGATGTTTCTATCCCTGGAAATTTTTCGTTTATGACAATTGATAGCTGATGGATCCTGACTGATGGGGAAAAGAAGGGCATTAATAAAAGAATTATCATTGGCACAGAAGTAACATCCCACCTCAGATGTGTGAAGTTCCTATAGCCATGAGGAATGGCTGCTCAAAGGCAATTACAGTGAAATTTTATAAGGCAGAGGCAAAGCTGTATGTATGTTGAATGCCCTATCTGGATCTCCATTTCTCTTTAAAGAAGCTCATCAGAAACTGTTTTGCTAAAGAAAAGCGTTTATAAAAGTTGCTTTTTTTACAGAAGTCATAGCGAACATTGTGAGGACATGGGTCCTCAGTCATGAGTCAAGGCTTGTCATAATGAATTACAATTCTATACTGATTTTGACATTAAATTAGCAGTTTCTTTGGGTTATTTCTCTGAGCACTCCAAAGAGACATATTATGAACTTATAATAATTGCCCACTGGTCTTTTATCTAAACTTAGGCACACACCTTTGCCACTGACTGGGCAGTAAATAAGACTGGGCTCTGCTTAAGAACTACCTAGTGCAACAAAACAGCCTAATACGCAATTTCTACAAGCAGCCATATTCAAAGGATAAATAAGATAAAAATTGGGATGAGCTAAGGTCTTGGGGAGTGCTCTCACTTAATTACCTGTTAACACCTCCCTTAGATTTTTGTTTGTTTTACAAGGGCACAGGCTGCTCTCCACCACACAAAACTGCTTTAACTGCTTTCCTCAGAGTAGGAATTGGTTATGATGGCACATACTAGTACTATTATCACAAGGGCCTAAATCTGAAATGATGCAAACTCATGGTGACTTCTACTCGTTTATTTGTAGAAAAAAAGATCAGACGACCAGCCCAAATCGGTGTGTTTCTATACTCTCACTTCAGTGGTGCCGCGGTGAGGGCAGGTGGCCGCTGCTCCCTCTGCTGACATTCTCACGGTCCCGTTTATCGGACCGCGGGCACTCCGGGGCTCCGGCTGGGAGCCGCCCTGGGGAGCAGCCGGCACCCCCGGCCGGGGCTCCCGGGAGGCGCCCGGCCCCGCCGCATCCCTCCAGGCCCAGGCCGGCCTGGCGAGCACCGCTCCCGGGGCCACCGGCGGGGCCCGCGGCCGCCCGGGCTGCTGGCAGCGGCTGTGTCCCCGAGCCGCCCCCGGGAATCACGGTGGGCGCGGCGGGGCGAAGCGGACGAGCGCCGCGGCGGGAGGGGAACGGAGCCGAGCGGAGACGGCCCGGCCGGGTCACGCCCGCCCCCGGCCGCGCCACCGCCCCTTCCTGTCATGGCCGCGGCCGGGCAGTGGGAGCTCGGCGGGGCGGCGCGGGCCGGCGCCTTCGGCTGCTGAGCGCCCCGCGGGCGGCGCGGAGCGGGGACGGCCCCAGCCCGGAGCCGGCGGCAGGAGGTGACTGAGGGGCACCGTGCGGGCAGGGCCTGCCGGGCGCTGCCCTAAGGAGCGGCCGCCCCGCAGCCCCGCGGCGGCGGGACGGGAAGCGCGGGCGCCCCGGGGCCGGCGGGGTGCGGCGCTGGCCCCGCCGGGGTGCGAGCGGGGCAGCCGCTTATTCGGGTGTCCCGGCGCGGGTTTTTGTCGTGTGCACCTCGCGAACGAGCCATCCCTGCGGGAAGAAGTATTGCGGAGAGGGCGGTCCGGGCTGGTCCCGGCGCGCTCCTTGGGAGCGCCTTTTCAAGTTGTAGGAACCACGACAGGCGTTTGTCCCGCAGTGAGGGTGAGCACGGTGGCACTGCCCGGGAGGTTAAATTCACGCGCTCCCCAGTGTACCGCAGTCTGTCCATGCTCGGGATCCCGAGGATGCCCGGTGTTATGAAGTGTGCGTGAGTGATGTGCAGGAGCCACCAGGCCCTAAACACCTGGTGAAACAGGCCCGCGTAGCAAGGCACCAGGTAAGCAGGCTCTGGTAGCTGCAGGCAGGAGAGCCTGTTCTGACATTACCTCGCGGTAAGTCTTCAAATATTAGTTTCCAGAGTTACATAACAAGAAAGCCAATCCACTGTGGCCTTCTCATGATAATAAGTCATTTAATTTTGTAATTGGGAAGATAAAACCTAAATTTCATGAGCTCCACACAGACACCTGTAATGCATCAATCAGCTGGCTTTTGGCAAGACAAATCCAGGGGAGGAGGAAGGAAAATCATGTAACATTCCTTTTGTTTTCCTTCTAGATAGCAGTGAAGTACCTGCTGTCCACCACTTTCTTCATTTAACTTCCCCTTGGGGTCAGCTGCTTGTCAGCATGCCTTCAACCGAGAGCACCTCAAAACTTTTCCTGGTCCTCGTGTCGCTGCTGCTGGTGCTGCCAGTAGTTGAAGCCCTGGACGCAGGAGATACCATTGCCTTCCTCCTAGGCCTCGCTGTCAGTGTCGTTGGATTCTGCGCCTGCCTTGGCTTGTACGCAAGGAGAAGGAACGGGCAGCAGTGACTTGAAGAAAATGCTCAGATGAAGTGAATTTCCGAACACAGCTTGGGGTTGGGTGTAAGACTGAGCTTTGGCTCTGGATAACTTTCAAAAAATATGTAGTAGATATTTCTGCAAACCCCTCTTACTGTTCAGTACAACAGAGTCAAGACGGTATTAGACTGTACTAGTAAAAGGGATTTATTTGTATGATCTGTCCTTATTACAAAAAGATAATTTTATATTATTTGTGATTAACTATTGCCTTAGAGAAGAGTAAAAATCTTTTTGAATGAGGAAGTAAAACTACAGAGTGGCTCGCAGTAAAAGTTTATAAATGTAGCATGTGAGGGAGGCCATCAACAAGTTCCATAATTTTGGTTTCAATGTTTAATCAGGAGGAAGCAGCTATTAATCTTCCAGTCAAGATGACAAGAGTTTTGAAATTAGTCCTAACTAGATAGCTAGCAAGCAGACTGCTCCAACTTGTGTGCTCACGCTCACATTCTCTGTAATGACAGTTAACACCTAACAGCTCACTTCTGCTGTCACATGGAAAAGACTTAAGAGAACTAAGGAAACATGAAAGGCTTTTTTTTTCTTTTAGAATATTTTTAGAGTATTTTTATTTTAGAATATGCCACTCCTGTAGCCTGTGTTCTTATTACCAAGTAGGTACACCTAAAAATGAGATCACCATTTTTACCTAACATGTATTTCACAGAAAAGTACATGTAAGGCTCTGTAAATCAGATTAGTCTCTTGTTTATTTTTTGTATTCAGCTTTTTTCTAGGCACACTGGGTTTAAGGCTTAGTTCATTTGGTGTTTACACTTTTTTCTCCAAAACTGAAGAGTTAACTATTTTGATGAGGAATTCTATGTATTTCTGCATTAGAAGGTTATTAGAACTATAAGAAGACCTTTGTGCACGTGTTTCTTTTGCAATGTAGAAAGAACTTGCTAAAATCCTGGGTTTAGTCAGCTAGTCCATTGTTCTTGTGTATTCCTCGTGACAAACCTATGTTGCTAGCTAAATATTTAGGCTTCTCTAACTGATGCATATAACTTCCACAAGAAGATTAGGACCAAAACCAAAGTAAAAAATCCTGGTGCAAAATGGGAGATTTAAATAGTCATATTCTATTAATGTTCAGTGAGATTGTGTGGTATATGGTTGAAAGACAGTGGTGTGTCTAGGACCTGTTTCTTTAAGTACCAAAGGTGAAATGGCTCAGCCAAGAATGTCTGCCACAAGTCTCTCTGACTTGTTAGGGTGTTCCAGCTTGAGCCAAGGAGCACAATCTGTAACAGCAGCAGAATAAGGAGCACAGGAAGATGAGCTCTCCGCAGCTCCAAGAATTTCCTTCTGATCTTGTGCTGTGGACACTGCCACTCTTTGCTAGAAATCTTGGCTTTTATCTTTCAGAGTTATGTGTTTTGATACTATTCTTCCATTTCCTCTGTGCCTCTGTTCAGTAGAGCACAAAGCAATGGCTGTGGGCAATTACTTATGTAAGTAATTGGGTGGGCAGATCATGTTCTCCAGATCCTGATTTCAGCATGCCATTTTTGAAAGAAAGGGACAGAATGCACAATTACTATGTAGAAATTAAATTTACAGCCCTAAGAGGCTGTTAATTTCCCCTTCAGACAGAAGTATCACCTTTGAAAGCTGCCTAGCAGCAGTAGGTTATCCTGTTAGTGATAATTCAGCTGGGTGGGTGCAAGCTCAGATTGAAGTGTGATCTTTGATGTTCCAGTTTAGCTAAACAAAAAAAAAAAGCAAAAAACAAACAAAACAAAAATGCCCAATAAAACCCCCTGCAAAATTGCTACTCAATTAACTTTATAGTTCCCAAAGTTAAAAAATGTTGCCATTTTTTCAGTAAAATATTAAGTCTTTCAATAGAATACATTTTAACACAAGCAGATTTTCACAGACTCCTTTATCTATACCTTAGAAAAGATCCCTAGCAATAGTTTCACAGAATTGGGCAACAGTTTCACTTCAGAACAGAATTGTAACAGAGTTAATTATCTTCAGGCAATAGGGATATGAGACATTATATTATTTGTCCAAAGCTGTATGTACTTCATTGAAAGGTGTTTGCACAGCATAATGGCTTTGTTTCCTGGGTTCTGATAGAAGCTTTATTGTTAAAGACTTGCATTTGTCAATTACTTGAGTGCAAAATCAGATACCCCTGTTTTTCCTCTGTCTTAATAAACTTTGATGTATGATTTGTCAACAGCTTGATGGAATAATTCTTATGAAAAGGAAAATTGAGGTGACACAAGTGACTGAAACTGTTGGAGTTCCTTCTGTTGAATATTATTTTCATACCTACTTTTGCTTATGTTAGATAACTTTATGAACTAATGTATCATAAGGTATTATTTCAGTTAACATTTGTGCAGTGATTGTACTTCTCATGGTCCTACTACTTGTTTATCCCATTTCAGTAACTGTTACTTTAAAGCATTTCAGGGAGCTGGTCCCCTTACTGTCATGCAGTCAGCTTGTAGTTGCAATGAATCCCGTTTGTCTGGTACAGGGAAAACTTGAAGTATTTATTTTTCCTTTTGACTATGAATTTTCAACATATCTTATGTAGTTGTCTTTATACCATAAAAGCTATTTATGTCAGTTTTCTTGCTGGAGACACAAGGATCTGAAAGACTATTTTCTGTTGGTTTGCGGTTTGTTTTTTTTTTTTTTTTGGTTTTGGGTTTTGTTTTTTTTCTTTTAATATTATGTTCTATTGCTTTAGTTATTTGAAGTTTTTTAAGAGCTAGTTTTATCCCAGCATTTTGTAAAATCAGGGTTCTAGCTCTTTCAGGATTTCAGCTACTGCACCAATCAGTTCACTTTGTGCATTAAGCTAGTACTATTAGTAGCTGTTTAGCTGTTTTCAGAGCAGAAAGTAGAAGCAGCCTGACAATGTCCACCTCTTAACAAACACAACCTACCCTCTGATTAAAAAAAAACCTGCAGGACAAGGAAGAGTAGCTTTTGACTGCTATGATTTCCATATGCTTTAACAATAGTGCAGCTAAAACACTGCCATCCTGAAACATTTAACAGTCTGTGTACAGTCTCTTTGTGAATGGACAGAAGGCCTTCACTTCTCCTGACATACCTTCACGTGCTGCACACCAGCTAGGCCTTCCCATTCTGCTGTGTACAGCAGTACCTGGGGCTGGAATGCAAAGGTTTCACACAGTTCCTAATGCACTTGCTTCTCTAGGTGTGTGCTGGTAAACCTCTTTCTCCTACTCAGATAAACCCTGCTACTGCTGGTGATGCTGCTTTAATACTGTTGTAAGGCCTGGCAGTTCTATGATGTCTTGCATTTGAGGACCTTTATATGTTTACAGGTATTAATGCTTGCATCCCAATTGTATCCTTGGAGCAAAGTAGGAGAATCACTGTCTTACGATGGAGTCAGAGGAAGGAGTTGGTGTCTCCAGGATACTCACTGAGTTTTCTGGAGTGTGTTGTGCTTGTGCTTCTCTGCCACTATGCCTTTCCATGGGAGCTGTCCCTGGACTAGCCCAGACTCTTCTGTACTGAACTAGACACAGTTAAACACAGTCTGAAGCCCTGGTTCCTCTTTGCATAACGCCCTTTACATAAGCTGTGTGAGAAGGGGAGTTCACTGTTTATAACAAGATAAACATTGTTAAATTGATGAACTGATTTACACTAAATGGTAAATGCACTAATTATTATGCTAGAGAAGTAACCTTTCCATTCATTTCTGCATCTTATGAAAGGTTTGGCAGATCTAAACGGGTGTAATGATGAGATTGTTAGGAGTAGTGGAAAGGAGAGCTTGAGTCTGGTGTCCTCCCAATTTACACTTGAAGAAATAGTAAATGATCTGAAGTCAGCAGGAAATATGTGTTGTTCACCAGATGAAAAAAGTGAAACTACTAATTCAGAATCAAATGCAGCAAAACATATTGGGCAAGATCTAATGGGACTACTGATGCTCAGGACCCAAACTATTTAATTCCTGCCAAAATCAAGATTCAGAACTTTCAAATGACAAGTTTTTGATACATTAGATGCTGACTACATTGCTAAATGTTCAATTCTTAAAGAATGTAATCAGTTTTTAAATTACAAAGATTTTCAGTTCACATGAATACACAGTAACATCAAATATTACATTTGGAAAACAAGTTTTCCAGCAAGCAACCTGAATTTACATACCAGGTGTGATATGGTAAATAACATAAAAGTACATCTTTCTATGAACTAAAATATAAAGAACAATAAAATTATATAGGCATTCAAAACATTTCCAAACCTTCTAGTGTGTCCTCAGCTCAGTTTCTCTGTAATGGAATTTGAAAATGTGTGGGAAGCTCTGTCACATTAAGGTACAGGCGTACTAGCAGTCAGCAGAGCCTTTTGTTTCTGGATCATTCATCTGATGAGATCAAAATAGAGATTTCCATGAGAAAAATCAAACAAAATATCCCTTTATTGTGCTAAGAAAAGAGACCCATATAATCATAGAATCAGAGTGTCAAGGGGTTGGAATGGTCCTTAAAGACCATCTAGTCCCAACCTTCCTTGCCATATGGGCAGGGACAGCTCCCACCAAACCAGGTTGCTCAAGGCCTTATTGAATCTGGCCTTGAACACTGCCAGGGTTGGAATATCCACACCCTCCCTGGGCAACCTCTTTGTGTCTCACCACCATCACAGTTAAAATTTCTTCCTAATATCTAACCTAAATTTCCTCTTTTTCATTTTGTACCCATTACTCACTCTCCTGTCACTGCAATTCCTGATGAAGTGTCCATCTCTGCCTTCCCTGTAGGCCCCCCTCAGATACTGGAAGGCTGCTGTGAAGTATCCATGCAACCTTCTCTTCTCCAGGCTGAACAGCCCCAACTTTCTCAGCCTGTCTTTTAGGTGAAGTGCTCCAGTCATTAGCTTCATGGCCCTCCTCTGGACTTGGTCCTGGAGTTCCATGCCCTTCTTCTGTTTGGGAGCACCAGGACTGCACCCGGTAGTCCAGGTAGGGTTTCACAAGAGCAGAGTAGAACAGGAGAATCACCTCCTTCGACCTACTGGACGCACTCCTCTTGATACAACCCAGGACAGCTGGTTTTATGGAAGTTTTATGCAAGTGCACTCTGCTGAATCATGTAGAATTTTTCATCAATCATTATCCCCAAGTCTTTCTCTGCAGGACTGCTCTCAATCACCTCTCCACTCAGCCTGTAGATGTGTCTGGGATTGCCCTAACCCAGGTGTAGGACCTTGCTTGTTGAGCTTCATGAGATGAGGTTCACATGGGACCACCACTCGAGCCTGTCAGGGTCCCTCTGGAAGGCACCCCTTTCTTCAGCAAATTTGCTGAAGGTGCATTACACAGCATAAGTTAAGGCCTGAAAGCACAGTGCCCTCCATTAGACCTAGGAGCTGCAAACATTAGAGGCAGGGAAGAGAGAACTGTGTCCACAAGCACGCTGATGCCGAAAACTAGATATTGCTGCTGGGGTTAAAGTTTGCATTCTGCTTCAGTCTTCCTGTATTGGCCATGTTCCTCCTCACTAGTCATTGTCTTGGAAATTTCAACGGG